ATTCTTAATAGTTTTAACCCACAATTGGATACCCCTAGAATTTCTACCCCAATTAGTAGCAATGATAATTCAACCAGCAATAAATTAAATGTCAAATTACCAAAAATCACCCTTCCAGAATTTAACGGTCATTATGAAAAATGGCTACCGTTTATCGATGCGTTCAATGCATTAATCCATGAAAACGATGATTTGAACAAAACACAAAAGTTTTATTATCTCAGATCGTGTCTAAAAGGTGAAGCGTCTTACGTTATAGACTCTTTGGAGGCATCCGATAATAATTATACCGTAGCTATAGAGCTTTTAAAAAACCGATTTGAAAACAAACGGATTATCGTACAAGCACACATTCGAGAATTATTTGAGTATTCAGCAGTTCAGCGCGAATCTCACGTACACTTGCGAAAATTAATTGACCATTTTCAAAAACACATCAGATCGTTAAAAACTTTAGGTCAACCAACGGAATATTGGGACACTTTACTAATTCACTTAATTTCAAATAAAATCGATACAAAAACTAAGCGAGCATGGGAAAGTTCTATTAAAACCAATGCAATACCAGACCTCAAACAGTTGTTTGACTTTTTGTCTTCGCAGTGCATGATTCTTGAATCAGTAGAAAGAAAAGATAACAAATCCAACACAGTATCTTGTCTCGTTATAAATAAACCGAAATGTAGGTTATGCGACGAAAGCCACGCATTGTACCAATGTAAAACATTTTTGGATTTGACGCCGAAACAACGCCTCGAAAAGGTCAAGAATTTTAAACTTTGCATCAATTGCCTTAAACCCGGTCATATACACGGAAACTGTAAACTAGGTAATTGTAAGAAATGTGACAATGCTCATAATACCTTGTTGCATTTTGAAAAAGGTAACTTTTCTACTGCACGTTCTTCTAATCCTCCAACGACAAGTGTGGTATCTGCACATACGATGAACAATAACAATGAATATGTTTTATTGCCTACAGCTCTATTATGGGTAAAAAATGCAATGGGAAATTTAATCAGATGTCGGGCTTTAGTAGACTCCTGTTCACAATCAAATTTTATTACCACTGAACTTGCATCTAAATTGAATTTACAAAAAACTAAGGTTTTAGCATCCATTAACGGAGTTAATCAATCGAACTTTAATGCAACTACTAGAACACAGACAGATATTTATTCATTAAACAAGCATTTTAACAAAAAATTGTCATTTTTAATAATTGATAAAATTACGGATAAGTTACCACAACAAAAAATTGATAAGGAGCGATTACAAATTCCTGAAAAATTACAACTCGCTGATCCTGATTTTCATAAACCCAACAGCGTAGATATTTTGCTAGGTGCTTCAGTTTTCTTTGAACTACTGTCAATAGGACAAATCAAATTGAATGGAAATGAAGGACCCATACTTCAAAAAACAAAACTGGGTTGGATAATAGCAGGGAATATCCCATTTTCGTTGAATTGTAACTCTTGTTTTCTGATCACTCGTAAAACCATTAATGAGAATACTCCATTATTGAAATCTTTAGAAAGATGTTGGGAAATCGAGGAATCACCGAAGGTTAACCATTTATTTCCTGAAGACTTGGAGGTTGAGACTCACTTTCGTAACACTTATCAAAGAGAGACGGATGCTTGTTTTCAAGTTTCGTTGCCATTGAAGGACAATCCTCAAATTTTAGGTGAATCCTATGATATTGCAAAGCGACATTTAATCTCATTGGAAAACAAATTCGCAAAAAAATCAGAATTGGAGAAGAGTAAAAGGCTATTGGTCAAATTGGCACAAGAACAAGAATTTAGTGAGGACATATCCAATTTAAAGGCTAAGGGAATTAAACTGACCAGTAAGTTGAAAACTTTAGATCCATTCTTAGACGAAGATGGTCTTTTGAGAGTGGGTGGTAGATTGGCAAACACCGATTTAACATTTTCATGTAAACATCAAATAATTTTACCCTCCAAACACAAGTTAACTGAATCAATTATTCGACATAAACATTTGGAAAGTTTGCATGCTAGCGTTCAAACTCTTCTTTCGATTATAAGACTTGAATATTGGCCTGCAGACGGAAAAAATGTGATTAAAAAGATATTACGTTCATGCACAATTTGTTTTCGAGTAAAACCTGGATTCATTTTTCCAAAGATGGGTATGTTGCCCAAACAACGAACAACACCAGTACGACCATTTACGAATGTAGGTGTGGATTATGCCGGTCCTATACTAATCAAGGATGGTAAATTAAGAAAACGAAGGTTCATTAAATCCTACGTTTGTTTATTTGTTTGTTTGGCTACGAAGGCATTACATT